GGAGGGAGAGAGAGTGCCGATTTGCGCATAGGCTAAGAGAAAATCGGAAAGAACAGACAGATGGAGCCCTTGCTCTTTTTTTCTGTCCACCTGAATTGATTAGAGACCAAAAAAAAAAACAACACCCCTCTGGATCAAAAATGACCTTCCGGTGAGAGTGACACGGTTACATCAGAGTTTACTACCACATCAAAGTATTTTTTTTCAGCGCCGAATTTAGCAAGATGGGCAACGATGCAGCTGTATCATAAAAATGAAAAGTAACACGGAATGAAGCACATCTGCCTCTGCTTCTTGTGGTTTTCCAACCTGTTCAGGAAGAGCAGAGTGAGGAGTCCTCAGGGATTGCAGGGGTGTATTTCTGTCCAATCAGATTGAATGATTGCCTCTGGAAGTCCTATATTCGCTCGCGTACAGTGTATTCCTTCACATTCCAGAAATCATGTTCGTGACTGGAGTTACTCTCACCAAACTGAGAATAGCTAGGCTACAGTAAGTCCCGATGGCAGGTCTACCTGATATGAAGAAATATTTGAACAGGAACTCCCACGGAACACGTGAACTGCCTATACAGTACTTCATTTCAGTCAGACGCCCGTTGTATTGTTTGTAGAGGAAGGTCGTCTAAAAATGGACACTGTAGCGGGGGTTGTTCGTGATTAGAGCACTGGACCTTAACCTTTAAGAATAAACTGATGGCCCGTACGTAAGCGAATGACCAATGTAGCGAGGCAGGAGGGAAGAACGGACTCTCGGAAGAGTTCAGCTGGAGAGACTTACTTTTGCTCTGAAACATGAAACTCCAGCAGCTTCGACTGTAAAAATGCTACTAACAATAAAACTATAAAATACAAGGTATGAGGGCCATAGTCATTTTGGTTTTCCGAAAATAAATCAGTGAAGGTGTTTCAGGTGTTGCCCACTTGTACTGTATAAACCTTTTTGAGTCACGGCACGTCCTGAAATGATTGAATTAGTATAATTAATACATCATTCTGACTAATTGGGTGAATCAACTAATTAGTCAAGAGAAAATGCTGTTCTGGTGTTGGGTTTAAACAGAGAAAAAATAAGATTTGAGAAATAATGCCTTAGCTTACCTGAATTTGAAACTATATAATTTCATTGTAAAAACTCTTTATTGGACCAATCTTCAAGCCAAAATAAGGCATTCTTCAGGTTCTGTCAGAAAAATGTGCGTTTACTTTTCTCAGTCACAATATGCACATGGAAGTGTTAAAGTAAAATCAAGCTATTATCTTTCCCCACAGAAGAACTCTTGCTCTCTGGTATGTTATTTTATATAAGGTAACGTGAGTGAACGTCTAATCCAGCTGCTGAAGCATATACAGTATTGCACTTGAAAACATTTGGCTTTGATGCAGTTCTTTTCATCACTGTGCTCTGTGCAGTTATATGCTATTTCTACGTATTGGTACTGATCTTTGGTATCAAATCTTTGTTTGCCGAAATCCTCGCAGCATTGCCGCAGGTTTCGATCAGGCAGTTTATCGGGGCTGGTGGCTCTGAAATCCCGTACTTAACGGTCACGAAGGCTGCTCTCGGTGTGTTGACCGCAGGTGTAAGAAAGAGCTGGTGAGATATCCACAGTAGTGAATAAATCATGAGCGGACCATAAATGCTTAATAGTTCCACATTGATCCTATTACAGGCTCCGAAAGAGATCGACTTACAACCAGAGTGTGTCTTTCCCTCGCTGCCCCTCCTGATCTGTTTGCTCAGAGGGGCGCTCCCCGGAGATGTCTTGCTGTGCGCAGCTGATGCCCGGGAGTGCGGGTGCCAGGCAGGCGGGGCCGGGGCCGGGGGTCCGAGAGGAGTCGTCCGTAGCCAGGCCCACGACCACATTGCCCACAGTCCCTCTTCGGGGTGCGCGCCCGCTGCGGCGGCCTGCCCTGCAGGGGACAAACCGAGATGTTTCACGCGTTTCTGTCCTTCAGGTACAAGTGCTTTGCTCTGTATGTACTTCAACACTTTGCACGTCTAGGAAACCCGTTTTCACATGTCAAAGAGTTCAGCACCCCGAGCTCTAATAAGAGCAGCGCCTAGATCTTTAAGACATCGAAGAATTTATTTCTTAAATGGCAGGGACGTATAAAGGCTGGGGTCACTTAAAACGTCTTTTTAAGGCTCTTTCCATCAGAACTGTGGCCAATCAAAGCCAACCCTGGACATCATGTGAGAAATGAGTGTGTGACTTTTACTGCAGACACACCATTTCTGTATTAGATAGCTCGTGGAAGACGCCTGTGCCGAGATTCATTGCGCTGTGCTCTCAGTTCGGAGGAGAATACAACCCCTGCACTCTCTTTATGAATGAGACCCAGAGTGCCTGTTCTGCCTTCCACTGGTGAAATGAAAGTGGGACTGAAACACAAGCATTTCCTTCCCTGGTTAAAGCTAACCTCACAGAATAAACCCAATTCTTCGGTCCTGGCTGAGGACAAAGCTGAAAAAGTAATTTTAGCATCGTTGAACAGCTGGCCATTACGGAAATCAGAAAGGCAATTTCACTCCTTTCAATTTAGCGGCTCAACCTGAGCAGCTGTAATCTGGATTCTGCAAGAGAGCGAGGAGAGTAGCGTGTGACCCCAGAGCCCTTACCTGTTCGCCCTGGGGCCCCGCAGGGTTTTCATCAGTGACTAGTCAAGAGAAAGATCTGTCCTGGTCGTACAGTGCAAGGGACTGTCATGTGGATCGGTGTTTAAATGACTGCATGAATGACCCAGTACTGTATGAATGACCCAGTAATTAGGTCAGATGCATTTCACCCTTTTATGCACCTACACCAGGCAGACAGATGAGAATACACTTGTGTCTGCGCCCCTCTGCACAGACGTTGAGACGTTGCAGAGAGATTTAAATTAATTTCCATTTAAATGCATGGATGTAACATAAACACCTCCGTTTGTGAGATTTTGTGTATAACGTCTGTATTTTATGCATTACCTGGAGAGCTTATATACAGAACAGCGCGCTTGAGTCACAATAACATCATCAGCTGTTTGGAGTAGTGCGTGATCAGTATATAAAAATGGCTATTCAAAGAGGAGGCCCATCTCGCCACTTAGTGACAGGCGGAGAGGAGAGGCACAGCTTTCTGTCTGTACAGACTCAGCACTGATAGCACCCAGCCCCCATCCCAGAACAGCACCCAAGACAGAGATGTCTCCACCATCCCCAGCACTGAGCGGACTCTGACACAGCCAGTCCACAGTGAAGCACACCCAGAAATAGACAGCTAAGGCAATCAACACTGCCAGATTTCCCGGGTGCTGGTATGCTAAGTTTTCATTTATTTGAGGTATAGTAAAAAAATATTTAAAACATTTTAAGAAATGCATTATCATGGTTAACTTCTATCAAGTGGTACAAACATTGGTACCTGACAGATGCAGTGTTAGTAACAAATGTTAAATGTTAGCTATTGAGTTTTAGGCGTACAGTACCACATAAAAATGATCTCAGTGTAAAAACATTCTCTTTTAAAATCTCAGATTCTCTGAATCTTAACCATATTCCCCCACCTCCCCACCGACCCCCTAGAAACCCTCAGACAGATACCATGATGTCTAAATAACCTGTGTCTCTCTATTCTGTTCCTGCCCTGGAAACACAGAGCATGAGTGCAAGCTCACCTACTCACCTGGCTTCTGCAGCATGACTGGCCAGGCCTCCTGATGATCTCACACACCAGCGGGTAACTGGAGAAAAAGCTCACCGCTGTTGCAAGGCCTCTCCTCATGATTATGTGACTTGAATGTTCCAGCAAATGATACAGTACATGCCACAGTGATGGTTGGTCAGTTTTTCCAGCTCTCAGTTGCACTGCAGGCCACAGTGACAAGGCAGCCTGGTAAACTGACATAAATAATGCTTTGCTTTGAATTTTTAAACATTATTCCATTGTTTTGTTGCTGAAGTTGCCAGCAGAGGGCGTTACCTGGAGAAATCAAGACTCTGGTGCCACACTTGGGGTCTGCCTGAGGTGACTGTCCAATAGGGCAATTTAATTAAAACCCAGTGCCAGTGATAGCTAGCAAGCCTCCCTTAAACAAAGCTTTTTCTCCAACACGACAGTCAATCTCAATGCCCTGTCCCCTTGAGTGTGGAATTATTGTCCTTCTCTCCAGAAAACAGTCAAGTGAACACCAACCTGCCCTGCAGCGAATTGGAAATGACCTTTTCTGTGTCTAACGTTTGTATTCAATGTTCTTTCTTAAATGGTGTCTGCCTCTGTCTCTCTGTGCAGCTTTAATTGGGGCTCAATTTCTATTTGGTGTGTTTTAAAATATTGCCTTGCATTCAAACCAGTGTGCTCACATTTTTATTTTGAAGCAGCTGAGACAGAAGGAGAAACAGGACACAGTATTCTACCAGAACATCACAGGGCTGTTCCTTTACTAATGAAATAAGTACAAGCAAGCTGAATTCCAACTGACAGCCATGCTGGCCAGACACCGGCCCTCCTGCAGCTGAAGACGACTGCATAACGCATAACTCATATGGTCAGGGGTATTCCTTTAATCCTCTTTCAGCACAGCGCAGTACTGTCAATTTACTGAAGTCTTGAACAGAGGAATCCACATTTTAAAACAAAGGTCGAATCTTTCAACAGAGTGAGCATTTCAGCACAGATTTCAAGGCATTGTCAGTGGGTCAACCCACCACACACCTGGGGTTCAAGAGCAAGATGAGTGCTTTTATCACAGTCAGGTCTGCATACATTTCCACTGGGCATCACTCCATCGCATTGTAGTAGAATTGTCCTTATTCTCCAGTTTCTTGTGTCCCTTTGCCTGTGAAACCAACAGCCTGTGTTTATCAGAGCAAGATAGACATCTCAGTCTCCTTAGGAAGCTGTTAAGAAACTAAGGGAGGGCTCTTTTTCTCTCCTCCCTTTCTGGTATAACTGGATGTGGATTTCCTTCTTTCTGTTTTTCTGGATTTTTAGATATTTTTGTATTCCTTGTGCTGTGATGTAAGGCCCCAGGTTCCCACACCAGGCTGCTTATGAAGAGGTTAGGGAGTTTATGTTTTAATCAGTGATGCATTTTCTGAAATATAGTCCAGACACAACTGAAGTGAACCTATTTAAAGCAAATGCGAACACATTTACATTGCCTGTGGGATTCTTTCTGAAGCTCGTATTCTCAGGAGGGTATCTGTTTGCCTCACATTTTCTGTGCTTTTTTATTTTTGTTGAGGAAAAAAAAGTCATTTCTTTTTGAAAAAGCTCACGTGCACTGGTTCATCAAGATGCAGATGAATACTCACTCGAGATTTTCATAAAAGAAATGCTGCAAGTTTTTTGTGGCTCACTCCTTTCAGGGCCACAGTTCAGATCATACTGTATCTTTGTGCATTCCAGATGAAGTGAAACACAGCTGCTGTTGTGAGTAGAGCTAGCGCTGAAATATGTTTAGCAGTTATTGCACATTTTTTTTTAAAAGAATGACACTTTCCAGAAGGTTATCAGATACCGTGATAAACAAGCTGGTATAGGATCATGATGTGTTCACCTGGAAGGACCACATCAGAAAACCCCGGCTACTAGACATGTCTGAATGTGTTTCCTCTTGTCCCCTGGAGCCCAGAGAGCCACACCAGGACACTGTGACCCAAGCAGGTGAGACAAGCATCCTAACATCAGCCACAGCGTTCGATGAACAGACTGGCTGCAAATCCTCTCTGGGTATTCAACATGTCTTAGTATCCATTTGGTGTTCCTGTCATGTCAGGTCCCTTCAGATCAGGATAATTTCATTCAGATTAATCCCTCCCAACCTCTTTTGACATTCTGTTTTCAAGTACTGTATCAGTTTCTCAGCAGAGAAAATTTGCATCCGGTTCGGTCGCTGGTGAGTACATCTAAGCAGGGTTTAATTATCATCCCACTAACGAGAACCCTTGAAAGTCATAAACATGTCTCAGATACCTGGTAATATGAAGAAAATAATTTTAGTGCATCCTCAGGCAGCTAGACCAAAACAAATATAATGGTAACCAAATGGAATAACACTTATATACACATGAGCCTTCAGTATATAGTTAACCACTGTATACGCCATAGTAATACACCCTTATTATTATTTGTAGTAGTATTTCTGGTAAATCGTTTTTTTTCTGCTGGGGATAACATACAGCTGTAAATTGTTTCCTAGGAACTGATTCAACTTACAGGACCTTAGATATAACTGTGCTGTTCTATAATAAAAATGTTTTACGTCTGGGTAGTGGATATTCTCAGATTATTACAGGGATCCCACAGACAAACATTTTGTGCTTCAGCACTCCCAAATCTCCCCCAACACAGTGGCTTTCGATAGTAACGTAATAACACTGAAGCCCTGCAGCTGATCTGTGCCCCCACACAGCAGGACAAAACATTCAGGGTCCCCTTAGCATCTCCACAGCTACTGCTTCGGGACCTAGGTCACCTGAGAGATTATAAAGTATGATTATATGATTATGCGATTATATATAAAAAATATTGGACACCATCCTCTGTATGGCTCTTGGGATCTCTCTTATACGTACCACATGTATAATCGATATTGGCAATATTTATTTGCGTTACCATGAGAGTCATGAAAGACGGCTTGGGGAATATTAAACTTCGTGGGTTGACTCCAAAGAGGGAGTCGTTTCAGAGTTGAGGGGGCGGGGGGCTGCAGGCTGCAGGAGGCTCCCAATCCATGCTGGAAGACAGAAGCTTTGCATCAGGGAGGTTATCCGGAGTGACCGAGAGTCGGAACACCATGGTACTGGCTTCTCATACACAGCACTTCCAGCAGGGGGGGGGGTGAGGGCAGACATCCTTTTCCAGGACATTACAATTCCTGTAAGCAGCTTAAACGGATTGGGAAGGATGGGAGCAGTTTGTTTAAATAGCTTTTCGGATTACCAGAGAAACACAAACGCAATCCACTGCTCGAAACTGACCGCTGTGAATCAGGATGCGTGTCTGCTGTGTCTGCTGTGTCTGCTGTGTCCGCGTGGGAGATTAGTGACCTGTGCCTTGT